GTGCCTGTCGGCCTCTCGGCTGGGGGTCCTGTCTGTCTGCCTCTCCGCCGAGGGTCCTGTCTGTCCGTCTGCTGAGGGTCCTGTCTGTCTGCCTCTCCGCCGAGGGTCCTGTCTGTCCGTCTGCTGAGGGTCCTGTCTGTCTGCCTCTCTCATGAAAGAAGACTTTTCAGAGGTGGCGACGAGTGGGCAGATGCTGCCCCAGGTGCGGGAGCTGTAGTGTCCCCTCCTCTTCCTCGGACTGTAAAACAAATGGATTTTAAAAAGGAAGAAACCCTGTAACCCCAGGGCAAGCTCTGAGACAGCCCGCAGCAGCGAAGGGAAACGGGCCAGCTGAAGGGCCCCAGGAGAACTCAGAGCAGAAGGAAGCCACTCAGACCAGGGGAAGCGAAACCCAGGCCGGCCTGGCACACGGGGCCGCGGGCTTCCCGGGCCCCGCGTTCAGGAAAGGAGGGCTGGGGGGCAGGCCTGGCCAGCTGGAGCCCTGTGGGGACCAGGCCTCTGCAGGAGCCGCCGTGTCCTCAGAGTCCTCGGTGAGCGCACGGACACCTTTGTAGGAAAACGCGAGGCGTGGTTGCGACACCTCCTGCCCAGAAGCCGCTGTAGTTCCGCTCCGTTTCCCAACGGCTTGCTCCCCGCCTTGGGTGGGAGCCTGGACTGTGCCAGAAAAGGCCTGTGGCGGGTCCAGGTCCTCCGTGGCCACCCCCGCCTCCCACACAGCACCCAAGGGGCCTGTGTGCCTCCCCTGCCTCTGCCCAGGAGGGCCAAGACAACGCCGTGGGGCAGAGGAGGCGGTGAGGGCGGCAGCAAGGCTCAGTGAGACTGCCGGCCTCGAGGTCCGGGTCCCGGTTCAAGCCCTGGGGAGTCTGGACATACGGGGCTGGACCCCGCACAGCTGACTGCACCGATCCAGGCCAGACCCAGCGGCTCAAAAACAGCCGGGGGCCAGCAGGTGGCGTGGTGGTTAAGGTGCTGGATTCCCACATGGCCAACCATGATTCAAGTCCCAGATACAGTGACTTGCTTTCTCTCTCTGTCTGTCTGTCTCTCAGCAAGCCAAGTGCCCTGTAGCAAAAATCTCTTAAAAAAGAAAGCAGAAACATTTTTGGAAATAGAGAATTGTGGCACGACTGTCCTTAAAGACGCAGGCAGAGGGGGTGGCAGGTGGCATGGTGCTTGAAGGCGCTGGATTCCCACATGGCCGACCGTGGTTCGAGTCCTGGACTTAGCAGCTTGCTTTCTCCCGTCCCCTCTCTGTCTCTCTCTGGTCAAATCACAAAACAATAATAAAAAATGGAAATAAACAAATAAAATTTAAAAAAGACACAGGCAGAACCAGCCCGGGTGGTGGGTGCCCGTGAACCTGGCATGACCTGCCCCTCAGTCCCGTGCTACCTTCCTGGCGCGTCCCGCCTGTCAGTCTGCCTTTTAAATCTTTGCGAATCTGGGTATTTGTTTTTGCATCAGCTTACGTGAAACTTTTAAAAAAGTTATTTAATTTCATTTGTTCTTATTTTTTACTTGACCAGAAAGAGACAGGGAGAAAAAGAAAAGGAAAGCAAGCCCCCCGGTCCAGGACTGGAACCGCGGTCCGCCGAGTGGGAGTCCAGCGCCTCATGCCACCTGCCGGCCCCAATTTACATGAACTTGTGGGCGGTGCCGTAAAGCCTCTTCCAGGTCAACCCTGTCTTTTCGTCCCACCTTCTCCTTTGAGATCTCCGTCTTTACCAGGCCAGCATTCAGCCTTGCCCCTTCGGAATCTCCTCTTTCACGGCGACATTTCCCACGTGGGACGAACCCCGGCCAGGCCAGAACTGAGTCACAGCCCCACCTCGGCCGACTCCGTGCTCCCTGCAGAGGCCAACGATCGCCGTGCCAGAGGCGGCTCCCCGACGGGTAAGAGCAGAGAGTTCACTCAGAAGTAATACCGAGGCCTGAAAGGAGCTGAGCGGACGACTCACAGCAAGGCACGAGACCTCACTCAGGGCGGCGACAGGGCCACTCTCCATGACCTGAGCTGGAAGCCCCGGTACACGCGTCACGGCCCCGGTACAGAGCCCTGCTGTCCAAGTGCAAGCCGCGCTCCCCACACCCTGCTTTCCTCTGCAGCACCGCCTCGTGACGGACTTTGACAGAAACGAGCACTTGCAGCAGTGGACGTGAAGAAGCAGGTCACCTCCCACGGCGAGGGTGGGCCTTATTCAATCAGTGGACGGCTTTCAGAGAAAGAAGGCCGACCTCCCCCAGCGATGAGTGAATTCTGCCTCCAGCCCGCCCCTGGCCTCCAGCTGCACCGGCGGCTCCTCCCTGGGCCCCTGAACCCGTGGGGTTTGTCGGCCTCCAGCCCTGTGTGAGTCAAGTCCCTAAAATAAACCTCTCGGTACCGCACGGCCTATTGGTGCTGTCTGCAGAGCCCTGACTCACACAGCACCTCGACCACCCCCACACCCCTGCCCCCAAAGCAAACAAGCAAACAGCGCGTGCACAGGAGCCTCATCGGTGCTCTCCAAGGCGGCCGCCGCGCCTGCTCCTTAGCACACACGTCACTCTGGGACCTCCCGGGGCAGCACCCCAGGGAGCCCAGGGTCCCGGTGGTCGTGTGGACTGGTCCTTCCCGGCACGGTCCGTAAAATGACAGCCTTTGTTTTTTGGTGTGTGTTTGCTGTAGGGCACACGAGCTCACCAGAGACGGAGGGAGAGGAAAAGTGAGAAATCACCCCCCAGGGGTGACCATGTCGCTGTCTCTTCTCCTCCACTCTCCTCTGGATTTTGGGCGCACACACAAGT